CTTTTCTCACTGGGTCGCCAACATCGGGGAAGAGGAATGGGAGAGGATGAGGAAGTACCTCATCGGGCTCTATGGGGCCAGCTCTAAGCATTGCTACGAACCTAATCAGCACCTTAACATCAGGGGGACTATCCTAGGTTCTTGTCAGACTCAGCAGAGGGCGTCGAGTAGTTCTGGTTTCCTCCGAATGCGGAGTATTTGCAAGGGGTCCCAAATGTCAACCTCCACCATAGCCTTCGCAACTACTTTGTTCGAGGCGCATTGGTGGAGACAGAGTTATACCACTAGATGGATCTGGTCCAGACCGCTTATCTAAAGCTCCTAGGGAAGGTTACTTCCCTAAGGGCTGACAGAGAGGCCAACTCGAAGCGAGTCACGGAGACGCCGTCCCCAAGTGCTTCAAAGGTCGATGAGATTAGGCAGGAGCTGGAGGAGAGCCAGAGGAAGGCCAAAAGGATGGATGTGACTCTCTGGGAGAGGGACTGTGCTGTGGAGCTAGCCAAAATGGAGAAGGAGGCGGTGGTGCATGCGAGGCGTCAACTGGGGGAGGAGCATGCAACGCTTGTCAAGCTCTAAGAGGAGGTCGTCCACTTGCAGGAGTCGCTATCGGAGGTTCACCGTCAGGAGATCATCGAAGAGTATCGCCAAAGCTTGACTGAAAAAACCGAAGTGGCGATCGCCTGCAAGATGGGGTATGACTATCTGTCGGTACAGCTTCCAGCCGAGATAAAGAACCTGCCCGACCGCTTCCACTATCCTCCCAATGTGGCTAAGTGCCTGAACGAGCTGGTGGTGGTGGAAGCACTTTGAGGGGGGCTTGATCTCGATGAGGACAAGGGAGAATCGGACAAAAGAGGAGGTTGCTCGACTCCTCCGTTGGCTGCTCCTAGGGGTTCCCCGCCAGCGACTCAAGGAGTGGGAATGGACTTTTCGTAGCCTCCTAGGACTTATGTCTCTTACTTCTGTGTTGTATAGATGTATACATTGTATCTTGTAAAGACACTTTATCAATAAAAATAGAAATACTTTTGAGCCTAAAATTGCTTGTTATGTGCTGTGCAATCTCAGTTGAGGTCTTCTGAATGACTTAGCTCCATCAAAGACTTGAACTACTGACTCGAGGGGACTCGTCCTTCGTTGAGAAGATAAGTCTCGAACTCAAGTAGTCACTCCTGATATGTTAGTTTTGGTCTAAGTAAGGAATCAATCTGGTCGACTGCTTCAGCTAGTTGACGTCTGAGCTTCTTGGGTGAGTGCCTGAGAG